GAGCTACTCATGTTTTAGCCCTAATATCACTAGTTATTCATGTAACAACACAAAATAAGCCAGTTGTCTAACGAGTTATTAATCATCGTGAACTCACACCACTCATCACATCAGTGTCAAATCCACTTGCGTTTACAAATCAAGACCTCATTTTACTTTGCACCTGATTTGTGCACTCGGGTCTTAGGCACGATGTGGTGGTGCCACAGTTGATGTGAAAAACCAGTCATAATTCAATCAAATCTGAACACACGGATATAACACAAATCATTTTACATTAAGTGTTACTTACATTTTCCAAGGATACCATCATCTTCGTTGTCCACTGCAATGAAGCGTCCATAATTCAGCTTAGAAATCACAGAAAAGACGTTAAAATATCCCTGACTGTCAAAGTAATGCATTGACAGATGACACTACATCCAATGGCACACAGAGGAGCTGCTACAAACGATATGTAGCGACTGCAGACTGTATAGAGATGTTTAATGCAACATTCTCCAAAGAGGTGCTGTCAGAGTTGGCTGACTGATTAAACAAACTTCACAGTCGCGTACTCATTTGATTGACAGGTGTTTGGCCAATTGATGCCGGGTGAGGGCGGGACGTAGGTATGTTTGATTACCTGGGAACAGGTTCATTAGGTGACGTTATTTTATGATTGAACACACACAGTACCTACTGTATTCTATGAACCTTTACGCGAGCTACTCTGAAACAGGGAGCATGTTGTGGTCTAGACCTCTGGATATTCAAGATGTTAAAGGCGTTCTCCAGCAGTTATCATTGCAAGACTGGTGATTAAATGTTTTTGTTTGTTTGTTTTTTGTTTGTTTGTTTTTAATGGTCAAAATCGAAGCAGTAGAGCGGAGGCTATGACTTTTAGTATTTGATATCTGCTGAATCTGGTATTTTCAGCACCCCCCTTCCTAAATAAATGCTCACTTTAATTCCCCTTTAAAGAATAAAGCAAAGCTGTTTTGCACACATTTGTTAGTTTGTTTGTTGATAGCATTACTCAAAAAAAGGACCATATTCCTTATTATACAGATACTGTGCCAGATAAATAACTTACTCCGCCAAAGAGGTTATCCTCATTTGTTTGTTTATTGGTTGGTTGTTTTTTTTCCACAGCATAACACAAAAAGTTATGAAAGGATTTTAAAGAATTTTTTGGAGAGGTAAGATATATCCCATGCATATCCTCAAATGTCACTGAGCTATAAGAAAAACGCCGTTAGTGTTTTTTTTTTTAAATGTTTGTGAGGTCACTGGCCCATTGTGCTGACAGGGCAGGCTCAAAGCTGTCATAATTTTCATCCTAGGACTGTTATTATGCCAAATCACCACCAAATTTTCAAATATGTGGTCAATCTATCCAAATAATGCCAATTGCAAACCTGCTCCATTTTTCAGAGATGTGATGACCCATTAATGTGCCAGCCAGCTAGCTCTACTTAGCAGGCATAGCTGTAGCCATTGTACTCATTATCACATGCAGTAACTTATGGGCTACGTGATAAGATGTAGGATGGGGTGGTTCACATAATATAATGGTTATATTATACAGTAACACAGGCTTGAGGCCTCCATCACCATAAATTATACCCTCCATAACACTTATGAGAGAGAGATGGCAGCCAATATTATGAATGAATGAAGAACGCGCAACTGGTGTCATCACATGTAAACATCCGGGTTCTTCAGTGACAAGAAGGCTTCGTAGTAATGAGGAATTTATTTCTCTGATACAAGTCCACAGTGTTTACACGTCACCGTTTGGTATCACCTCAGCTCGCTTGGAACCTTGATGGAGTTGATGCAAAAAAATAGTACCAGGTACCAGGTACTATCCCCAACATATGACTGATGGGAAAAACAAATAAGGAGAGTTGAGCTGGTACTAGACAGTGGAAAAGGGGCTACAGGTTACATTCTGACCAATTCACACCACCGTTTTAATGGATATCATGCTACACTGTGAATACAGACATTTTCTCTTTCTAATTTAAGAGTTTACATTTTTTTATTCAGCAATTTTTCATCTGTTTGTCATGCTCAAATAACATTTTCCAAACAAGACCATCTTTTAGACATCGTACAGAATGTTTTTTCTGTGGGCTTTGGTATGGTGTATGTTGAGAGGATCAGAGAAGGAAGCAGTCAGCCACAGGAAATTAAGGAGTGCATTTCAAGTCTACAATTATTCTGTTATAGTATCAATGATTACTGTAAAAGCTCTACACTAAGGTAGGGATGCCCTATGAATAAACCATATGTGTGATGCTAAAGTAGGCACGTTTTGAGCTTGGAATTATGAGGTTTTATCGCATCCTTCTTTGTGAATAGACAAGGGCTATTTCCAATCTACATATCCAAAACCTTGGAATGCTACTAGTCCAGTGTGGGTAGCTGAAGGGTGAACAAGATGTTAGAAATTTTTACAACATTGCAATTAGTAGAAAAGTCTCATAAGAAAGACAGCAAGAACCAAAGCTAGGAAACAGGAAGAACAGCTATTCCTGTACTCAGCAGTCATGTTTTGTTTTAGCTATACAGCCTTCATCAGCTTCAGCTGATGTTCCACTTAATGAATTAACTATTTCACCGACAGTGGAATAACTCCAAACTAGAACAAGACAGTCACATTTTCAATTTAAATAAATGACTTATTCTCATGAAAGTGACTTGCACAGACAACTGTGGACTAGAATGTCACACTTGGATCTGTTCGTATACAAACTTGTCTGAGAAAACATACAATAAGAAAACACAATACATCTGGCATATGGTGAATTTACTACTGGGAAATGAAACTGGGATGTTCTGAAAAATCAGAGGATATGCATTGGCAGATGTATTCTTTCTAGCCTTCCACTTCACATCTTAGTATTATGGTCACACAGATGGTATTTAGATCACATCAGTGTAGCGCCTGTGTGTGGTCTATAAAAGCAAAGTTTTATTAGCTGTCAGTACTACTGTCTTTTTTCCTTTTCACAGCAGCAACTTCTTCATCTTTATAATTTTGCCCTTCACTATTTCTAACAAGCTTCTCATTCACCTTTGAAAGAGACGGCTCTAAGAATTAAAAAGCCTGCAACTTGGCAATTCCTACATAGTGGATATGTCTTTTCTTGACTTTCTTGACTTTTAAAGTACAGGGTACGTTTTCAGAAAGCTATTTTGACAAAGTGGCTGAGAGCTACTCATGTTTTAGCCCTAATATCACTAGTTATTCATGTAACAACACAAAATAAGCCAGTTGTCTAACGAGTTATTAATCATCGTGAACTCACACCACTCATCACATCAGTGTCAAATCCACTTGCGTTTACAAATCAAGACCTCATTTTACTTTGCACCTGATTTGTGCACTCGGGTCTTAGGCACGATGTGGTGGTGCCACAGTTGATGTGAAAAACCAGTCATAATTCAATCAAATCTGAACACACGGATATAACACAAATCATTTTACATTAAGTGTTACTTACATTTTCTGAGGATACCATCATCTCCGTTGTCCACTGCAATTAAGCGTCCATAATTCAGCTTAGAAATCACAGAAAAGAGGCTAAAATATCCCTGACTATCAAAGTAATGCATTGACAGATGACACTACATCCAATGGCACACAGAGGAGCTGCTACAAACGATATGTAGCGACTGCAGGTTGTATAAAGATGTTTAATGCAACATTCTCCAAAGAGGTGCTGTCAGAGTTGGCTGACTGATTAAACAAACTTCACAGTCGCGTACTCATTTGATTGACAGGTGTTTGGCCAATTGATGCCGGGTGAGGGCGGGACGTAGGTATGTTTGATTACCTGGGAACAGGTTCATTAGGTGACGTCATTTTATGATTGAACACACACAGTACCTACTGTATTCTATGAACCTTTACGCGAGCTACTCTGAAACAGGGAGCATGTTGTGGTCTAGACCTCTGGATATTCAAGATGTTAAAGGCGTTCTCCAGCAGTTATCATTGCAAGACTGGTGATTAAATGTTTTTGTTTGTTTGTTTTTTGTTTGTTTGTTTTTAATGGTCAAAATCGAAGCAGTAGAGCGGAGGCTATGACTTTTAGTATTTGATATCTGCTGAATCTGGTATTTTCAGCACCCCCCTTCCTAAATAAATGCTCACTTTAATTCCCCTTTAAAGAATAAAGCAAAGCTGTTTTGCACACATTTGTTAGTTTGTTTGTTGATAGCATTACTCAAAAAAAGGACCATATTCCTTATTATACAGATACTGTGCCAGATAAATAACTTACTCCGCCAAAGAGGTTATCCTCATTTGTTTGTTTATTGGTTGGTTGTTTTTTTTCCACAGCATAACACAAAAAGTTATGAAAGGATTTTAAAGAATTTTTTGGAGAGGTAAGATATATCCCATGCATATCCTCAAATGTCACTGAGCTATAAGAAAAACGCCGTTAGTGTTTTTTTTTTTTTTAATCTTGAATAACGTTCAAACTGATAATGATATCAATGTGATTCCAAATGCTAGAAATAGTTTTTCAAGGCTAAGAATCATATTATGATGGTCAAACTATCATGGGACCAGTGAGCCACACTGCCGAACAAAGTGACATGTTTCTTCCTCACATAAAAGGTCAGGCTTGTCTTTTTCTTCAAAAGCTCCTAAGTCTGAGAATGGCTATTACTTTGAAGCTCTTAAAAAAAAAAGCCCAACATTTTTTTTCTTGAGGAAGAAACATGTTGCCAGGTGCAGCAGTGTGGCTCACTGGTGTGTTTTTAATATTTTCTGGACAGCAGTGGAGGTCTACATCACAGACAGTAAGGTAAAGCAGGTTCTGGATTCACAAACATTATGTTGAATACATACAATTCATTGCTGCTTTTTGTCATTGTATGTGATATTTTGAAAAAAAAAAAGAAAAGAAAATCCTTTA